ACAATAACAATAATAGCAAAAAGACTCCTATGCTAATGCTAATATACACATATAGTCATATTCACATAGTCATCAGCACATCTAAACAATCGTCAAACATTTCATCATATAAGTAAATTCATCTTGTACATGATATATGACATATGACATAAGTCTATTAAACATCACAGTTGTTGTACGTTTATGGTGTGCGTGTGTTGATCTGATCCATTAAATTAAGCTGAGAATGGATTAAAAATAAAAGTATAAAAAGCAAATAAAAATACAAAAATTCAAATATTTAAAATGTTGCAGTCGTCTAATATACAACAGCAACAACAGCAACAGCAGCAACAGTTGCAACTGCAAATTCAGACTGAACAACAGCAACAGCAACAGCAGCAACAGTCGCAACAACTTCAATTAATGTCTGCCATTGGAAATGGCAGCGGCATCGTTACTGCAGTCAATAATTCTGATCCAACCATAGTAATTCCTGATAATTGTATTCTTTTGAGGCTACAACAACATTATCGGTCACATGCTCACCAGCAGCAGCAGCAGCAACCACAACCCCAACCACAACAACAACAACAACAACAGCAGCAGCAGCAGTCACAACAACAGCAACAACAATTGAATATTGTTACAAATGACAGAATCGATGCTGTTGCTGCTACAACGACAACTGCAGTTTCCAATCCTATTGGTACTGTTGTTGGTAGTGACACTACTTCTAATATTGTAACTGCTTCTTTAAATAAAGATATGAATCAATCAACTATAATACCAACAAATCCTACTGTTGCAGTAACAACCACTTCACTAATGCAAAGTCAACAGCAACAGCAACAGCAGCAGCAGCCTCAGCCTCAGCAACAATCTCAACAACAACAACCGATTGCTATCACAACAGCTACAACAACAACTGCAACAACTCCATATTTGCCAAATGCACAAAATGTAAGATAACATGCAACAATTAAACAATATTCGTGTAGTTGAATGTGTGTGTATTCAGCAATCCATTCTGATCTATAATATAGATCAAATCCCCCAACTTTTTCATATTGTTTGCCTGAAAAATCGATAGGATGTCATTTAAGTAATATTATATTTATTTGATCAATGCCTCTAAAAGTGGTATAGGGGTTTGATTGTTGTTTCCGTTACGTGCAATTTACGTACTGTAACTCTTTAACGAATTTGGCAGCATTCTTTAAATCGTTCCTCTCCGAGTTATCTGCGGTTGGCTATAACTAATATATTGTTAAAAGCATGGTTCATATTTGCTCACTCATGAGCAGCTCAGGTTCATGAGCAAGAGCCAATTCTTATGTGAGCCCAATATTGGCTCATGAGCGTGAGCCCATAATTGGCTCATGAGCGTGAGCCCATAATTGGCTCATGAGCGTGAGCTCATAATTGGCTCATGAGCGTGAGCCCATAATTGGCTCATGAGTGTGAGCCCATAATTGGCTTATATTGAAGAGCTGCTCATGAGGTCTCACGAGCCGAGAGCTCACGAGCTCAACTGTTTAATAAAAAGCGATTTATTAGTTTATTTGCTTTATTTATTTTTATAAACGTTATATGTGAAAATATATAATTTCATATTAAAACAATATAATGAAGCAGTAATTTGAAAAACAAATTTATAAAATATTATTATTTTCCACAAATAAACAATAAAATTATATTTATTGTGTTTATTGTGTATACATGTTTTCACAAAAAAAAAATAATAGCAAAATCTTAAATTGGGCGCATGAGATTTCATGAGCCGCAGCTCATACTCTTGCTCACGAGCGTGAGCCCATTTATAACTTAATGACGGCTCTTGCTCGTGAGCGTGAGCTCTGTGGTTGGGCTCGCTCGTGAGCGTGAGACATCGTATGAAATGAGTTTTTTACCGGCTCATGAGCCGTGAGCAGAATGAGCCGAAATGAGCCGCTCATGGGTACGCAAATACGAACTCTGCTTAAAAGACAAGAAAAACAAGTCCTTAAAGTTTTCGGTATTGAGTTTTTAAGGCAATCCATTTATGTAATGCAAAGACATATGGCAAAGAGAGAAAGGGATAGTTGGCTTTACACATCTTGACTATATACACATTAAACAGAATATTGATCTCCTCTTATAACTTGTTAAATAAATTAAATCGATTTCATTTAAATATATAACTTTAAAGATTCCTCAGATCTTATTTATATTTATTTTGATATTAAGTTTTTAAGACTATCTATCATTTTTAAGAGACACAAGTAAAAATTAACAAACAAGTGATTTAATATTTTCTTAATCCAATTTATTTAGTTTATTTAAACTGTTCCAAATGAAGTTTTATTCTCATGTATTATCCCTTTCAAAAATCGGCATAATCCAAACTTTAGTTCATTAACTATAATAGTTATATGGTGCTAAAACCAGTGCTAAAATAACGGATCGTGCACCGTTAAATATAAAATTCATATTGGTACAAATTGTTCCAGTATTGCTTTATGTGGGACTAGCTCGTGGTGTAGGTCTCTGTTTAAACTGGTAACAAAGTGCAATAAAGCCTAAGTACGCACTTATGGGTTACTGTTATAATAAGAAAATCTCTCCTGCGCTTTTTTCAAATAGAGCAAATAGTTTTTGGTACGACGACGGAATATACCACAGATAAAATTATCTTCTAACTAGGTATATTTTAGCTTTATTTGAAAGTATGATAACTTCTTCATACATTTATGTATTTTAAAAACACATACATATGTTATACTCAAAACCTAACCATGGTGGTAAATGTGGAATTGACTATAGAAATTGGAAAATAATCTATGTGGATCTTCATAGTACAACTTCTAAAAGCTAAATATCAATTGGATTTTATTACCCACAATACTGTTACAGTGTTAGATCTTACTAATATTGGCACAAAAAGTACATATTCTTGTGAAATAGATCAACAATTTTAGTACAAATCAAAATGAACGATTAGATCAAATGTTTCTTAAATCAAAGTAGTGTTTTTATCTTATTGAATTTTTTTCTATTTGTTCCATAAATTTGTTACTATAGAAATGGAATTTTTAGCGAATTTGATCATGGTTATTTAAGAATAAATACTATCGAATTAACATATGAACTTATTGTTATAACAGAGATAAAATTTAATAATGACTTTTGTGAGAAATAATTCAGATAAAGTATTCTTAAGCTTAATACTAATATAATATTAAATCTACAAGTATAAAGTGACTTATATGCAATATTGACGTTTCCCGTATATTAACTATATAAAGATTATTTTGTCTATCTTTATTATTATTTTGTGTACCACTATGGATAATTTAATTAAATACCAAAAATTAAGTTGGGAAGTAACCTGCGTTATATGGTTGCGGTGCTTTCTTGTGCTATACCCAGTTATCTTAGTCAGTTTTACTGAGTCTGGCCACAGTTCTGCTTTACATTTATAAACCCTAAGTTTATATTCACCGATTGATTTAAATAAAATAATACGTAAACAATATTATAATAATATTTATATTAACTAAGTTCTGTGTTGACTTTATAGCTTTTAGTGAAAAGTCATATTAGACGTACCATTTTTTTTCGATAAGTTTGTGCATTTCCTGCGATTAGATTTTTTATACTAAAGAACCACCAACTTTACTAATATCGGATATTTGTGGTAGCTTGCTTTGAAATGTTTGCTCTCATATTGCAAAATAGTTGTCATAAACAAAAAATTCTAAATATATTAGATATAAGTGTAAATCATCCTTATTCAATATCCTATAAATCTATTAATATTTAAACGATTATTGATTATTATTATAAACGTCTTTTCTGGAAATTTTGTGTCTTTTAGTCGGTTTTTAGCATAATAGCTGCCATTCTGTTAAATTGTTTTTCGGCACGCATATATCTGAGCAAATTTGAATTCAATTGATGTGTAGTTTTGATCCAGATTTCTAAGTCATAGTACAGGTACTACTCAATCTTTATTTTTATTAATCTTAAATGAGGGATTCCCTTCGGATGCTTCTCGTTTTTATTATCTTTTGTCCTAAACCTCATCATGTATTCCAATACCCACACAATTATAATCTGATTAATAAGGTTGAGTATATACTCAAAACATGTTATAGCAACATCAGCATAATAAACTTATTTATAATCTTCCACACCGATTTTTTTGATGATATAAATAAAGTTTAACGAAGTTTAAGTTTAATATGTAGTAGAAAACAGAATCCTAACAAGTGACGCAAATGGAGTTTGAGATTATATGCGAGTATACTTCTTTTATTATTATCTATCACCACTTATCGTTATTATAATCGTAATAACACATATCAAAACTATTTTTATAATATTTCATATAACTATGGTATTTTATAAGAACATGAATATTATATTTGTATGCTTTCTGATATTCTTTCGGCATTATCTCACTTGGTATTCTGTAGTCTTGAAAGAATTGTTTTTATATTGCATTGTTGTTGTATTCGCTAAGATTCATTCTGATTCAAATTAAGCCAAGAATTATTCTTAGTACGGGTGCTGTCTTTAAAAGAATGTTGAGTTGGTTCATTTGTATCAGGGTATCCATACCTCGCGGCCTTGTGTTGCTAGCAAATATATAAATGGTTTTATGTCCTTGGTTTTGTTATTCGATTGAAAACCCAAATTGTTTATGATCTTTAGTGATCAAATGTTTTATACTTACTTTTCTGAGTCTCTTCTTTTGGGTATTAGAAGCAATAAAAAACTAAAAATATCGCTATTTTTTTGAATGAAATTCTTCTTGTTTTATATAACGAATTTGTGGAAAACCTATCTATATATACAACTTTGGAAAATGTATAATTGAAACAATATTTTTAAAATTATATTTATATAACTTATATAATGTAAAATAATTGATGACTTCGATTATCACTAAATACAATATTAATAGTTTTTATATATTATCCAAACCATATTTTTATTATTAATATTACTTACTTCTATCTTTATTTAATTTATAGTTAGGTAAATACTGGGTAGTTACGAATTTGTTTCAAAATCCTGGACAAGCTGCACCGTATAACATTGGCGTTACTCATGCACCTCCATCAACTGTAGTTCCACCAACATTATCTCAGTCAATACCGGCAGACATTAAACCAGTTACAACACCATCGGCAGTAACAACAAGTGCAAAAGTTGCTACTAGTAGCATTGACGCTGCAACGCTACAAATTCCGCAACCTATGTTGACAAATGCAGTTATTGGTCAGCAATTGCCAAATGGTGCTATCCTAGCTGCACAACAGCAACATCCAAACGCCAGAGATCAGCAACAACAATTACACGTACATAGTATGTAACAATGAATGATATTCGTCTTTTTGTGATCCTTAATTTATTTATTTTTTTTTTTTGTCTTTTTAGCACTAAATACCAATGATGACAATCGCCAACATGTAACGCAACAGCAACAACAGCAACACGTTACTCTACAACAGGATATGATTAAAGAAGAAAAGCCTTTTGCTAATGGTAAAATAAATCAACATATAATTATGCAACACGTTACAGCTGCGTCGTCGCCTATAAGAGCGGGTGCAGGGACAACTATTACGCTTGGTGCTCCTAAAACAGAAATAAAAGATGATGTTATGGGTAAACCACCACCTGGCATCGAAATGTATAAGGTTAATATAGAGGACATATCACAGTTATTCACGTATCATGAAGTATTTGGTAAAATTCATGGTGATATAAATCCACAGTTAACTACACACGCTATACCCGGGCAAACAGTAGGTACATCACATAATGCTGCTAACAATGCTGCGGTTGCAGCTGTTGTAGCAAGTGCTAATGCTACAGCAGCAGCCAACGCTAATGCAAATGCTGGTGCTGTTACGACAACATCTAATTTAACAACGACTATAAGCACAGGTAGTACAACTGCGCCAGCTGGTGCAACCATAACTACCACCACTACTGGACTTCTAATGCCTAAAATGGAGGGTGGCATACCACTTATAGATCAAACAGCTAGTATTACTTTGGCACCTGATGGTACGCCTATTGCCACCGGTAATCATGTTTGCGATATATGCGGTAAAATGTTTCAATTTCGTTATCAATTAATTGTGCATCGACGCTATCACAGCGAACGCAAGCCTTTTAATTGTCAAGTATGTGGTCAAGGGTTTACTACATCTCAGGATCTTACACGTCATGGTAAAATTCATATCGGTGGACCTATGTTCACATGTCTTGTTTGCTTTAATGTATTTGCTAATAATGCCAGTTTGGAGCGGCATATGAAACGCCATTCAACTGACAAGCCTTTCGCTTGTACAATATGTCAAAAAACGTTTGCACGTAAAGAACATTTGGATAATCACTTTCGATCGCATACTGGAGAAACACCTTTTCGCTGTCAATATTGCGCTAAAACATTTACACGAAAAGAGCATATGGTTAATCATGTTCGAAAGCATACGGGTGAAACTCCACATCGTTGCGATATTTGTAAAAAGTCATTTACGCGCAAGGAACATTACGTTAATCACTATATGTGGCATACTGGTTAGTAAATTTATAAAATTTTATATAAATTATCTTTAAAACTATCTTTAAAATGTTTAAATAAAAATAATCTTTTCAATTGAAATTGCTAAAAATATCTGCTTGTTTTATAGGTCAAACTCCTCATCAATGTGATGTATGTGGCAAGAAATACACACGTAAGGAGCATTTGGCTAATCATATACGTTCTCATACCAATGATACACCATTTCGTTGTGAAATTTGTGGTAAAAGTTTTAGCAGAAAAGAACATTTTACTAATCACATCCTATGGCACACCGGTACGAAACATTATTGCATTATACAAAAATTATTTCAAAATTTCTTTATATAAACAAATTTACAGGTGAAACACCTCATCGCTGTGATTTCTGTTCAAAGACCTTTACACGTAAGGAGCATTTGTTGAATCATGTACGTCAACATACTGGTGAATCACCGCATCGTTGCACCTATTGTTTAAAAACTTTTACGCGTAAGGAACATCTCGTTAACCATATACGTCAACATACCGGTGAGACACCGTTTAAGTGCACTTATTGCACAAAAGCGTTCACTCGCAAAGATCATATGGTCAATCATATCCGTCAGCATACAGGCGAATCACCTCACAAGTGCACCTATTGTACCAAAACTTTTACTCGAAAAGAACATCTTACGAACCATGTACGACAGCACACGGGCGAATCGCCGCATAAATGTACATACTGCAGTAAAACATTTACTCGGAAAGAACATCTTACGAATCATATACGCTTGCATACTGGCGATTCACCGCACAAGTGCGAATATTGCCAGAAAACTTTTACACGTAAAGAACATTTGAACAATCATATGCGGCAACATTCTAGTGACAATCCACACTGCTGCAATGTGTGTAATAAACCATTTACGCGTAAGGAACATCTTATTAATCATATGTCACGGTGTCACACTGGTGATCGACCATTTGCTTGTGAAACTTGCGGCAAATCATTTCCTCTTAAAGGAAATTTGCTATTTCATCAACGGAGTCATACAAAAGGTCAAGAATGCGAAAGACCTTTTGCATGTGAAAAATGCCCTAAGAACTTCATATGCAAAGGTAGGTCATTTATATATTTATATGTAAATAATAGAATTTTAAACTATATTTTTTATATATAAATGAAAAAAGTATTTGGCAACTCATAATTAAATTTTTTTAGTTTAAATTTTAAATGGTTTTGTTATATTTCTTTTTTAAAAGTGAATATTTTATTATTCACTGTTAAATTTTAAATTTAATATTTCTTTTTCAGTTATTTAAATTTATTAAATTTAAAACATTCATATATTTAAGTTATAACATATATAATTTTAAGAAGAACATTTTTGTTTTTTATAATATTTATTTTCGAACCGGGCTAATTGGTCAGGGTACTAAACTTCAGGTATAGTGGCCTGAAGATGACCACAGAATAAAGTAAAAATATTGGTTATTGATGTTAATAAATTTATAATTTTTTAAAAAATAATTTAAAAAGTGTATTATTCAAACAATCAACCAGTTAGTCCGTTTCAAATATAAAAAATTTTGATCATTTTGACATTAAATTATAAAGAAAAATTTTGATAAAAAAAAGTCATTTGTAAAATAAAACTAATAGCACAACTTTATGTATTTTTGTTATATATAATATATTATGATATATATATTTCTAACATGGTTAAGATATAAGACAAAAAAGAAAAATATTCAAATAATGTATTAAAATTATATTAATTATGTATTTTTATGATGACCTAGATATTAGTTTAAGAAAAAGTGTTTTTAAAATTCAAATAAATAAATAGAGCAACCCTGTGTAGTTTATAGTTAAATAAGTTCTCGAACGAACGTATTTATAAATATTTTTACACTAACAATTGTTTACCATAATTTTAAACATGTTTAACAACAGGTTTAACAACATATCTGTTCAAAAAAAACTGTAACTAACTATTATAAGAATTTATATAATATATGTATTCATATATATAAATATTTTTATTCATACATTTTATTTTAATCCACTTACAGGTCATCTTGTTTCACATATGCGTTCACATTCTGGTGTTAAGCCACATGCGTGCACATTATGTAGTAAAGCTTTTGTTGAACGTGGAAATTTAAAGCGTCATATGAAAATGAACCATCCAGATGCAGTTATGCCACCACCACCTGTGCCACATCCTCAAATACCTGCGGGTATATTAACGCAAGTTAAGCAAGAAATAAAACCTATTCTGAGTAAGTATAATTAAAATACAATAATTGAAATATATTATTTAAATTATATAAAATTAATATTATAATTCATTTATGTAGTTCCTCATCAAACACCAACTATGCATACCATACAACAAATAACTTCTGGTGCTTCTGGAGCAAATGCTGTGCAATTGGTACCTGAACTAGTACCTTTAGTTACCTCAACAATAACATCGCATAATAGTCAAAAACAACAGCAGCAGCAACAACAACCACTTCCACAGCACCAACAGCATCAGCAACAAGTACAACAACAGCAGCAGCAACAACAACAACAACAGCAACAGCAGCAGCAGCAACAACAACAACAGCAGCAGCAACAGCAGTTACAACAGCAACATCAGTTATTACAGTTATCAATACAACAAGCAGCACATCATCAACAACAAGAACAGCATCGCCAGCAACAGCAACAACAACAACAGCAGCAGCAACAACAACAGCAAACACATCATCAGCAACAACAGAATCAAGCTGCTCAACAACAACAACAACCACAAACAACGCATTTACAACCTCAACAACAGCAACAATCAACACAGCCTGTGCCAATTGCTTTAATACAGGCTGATCCAAGTGCCCTTGCTCGTGCTGCAATGCAATTACACTTACCAGGCAATGTTGAACAACATCCTGTTGTTTACTAACAACAGCAGAATTTTACAACGCATTGGTGAGCCGCAATCAAACAAAAAACGACAACTTTTATTTTAAAAGTTATAATTACTGTAATTACGCGTTTTATAAACAAAATATTTATAATAATTTTTACGTTCAACATTAGCAGTACCTTTTTAAAATGAACTGAATGATAATTCATATTTTAGGAATGATAAACATTCATTTTATTTAAAAGATGAATTATAAAAAGATGATAATCGTTAAAGAACACTTATGGTAATATTGTTTAATCGATTAAGTACTTGTAATCGAAAATGTTTGCTTTATTATTTAATAATTAACATTTATTTATTTTATAAGAAGTATTTTTAAAGGTTTTTAGTCCTTTAACCCTTATAACTGTTTTTCCATTTGTACATGTTTACCTTTTATGTTAAAAAATTTTCTGAAAAAAAGAAAAAAAATTTAAATATTTTACAAATTATAAATTTGATATCGACAAATTGGCTTAGCTTATATAAATTTTGATTCGATATTAAAACTTTTTCCTTAGTAAGGATATCAAAAGAGTATATTCCTTATAAAATTCATTGTGCAATATAGTAACACTCATAGTCTTTACTATATATGAATATTTAAAAATATTATCTATATTTATATGTGTGTAATATTTATAAATACACTATAACAATTATTTAATTTAAGATATTGTGTCGGTAATATGAAGAAGTTTATATATACGTAACCTAATTGGGTTATTGGGTATTGTCTAATTGGGTATCAAAAGAAGAGAGTTAACGCAAATACTGAGTATCAATATACATAAACTGAAAAGATTTACCCAAGATATTAAAAAGCGTACTAAAGAGTAGTAGATTAACTACCTAAATTATTTTTACTCAATGTGTGGTTCAAGTTGAGACTTTAAGGGCAAATTTCACAATCGTAACTTAAATCTCAAAATTGGTCAGCTAGTTGATGATTTTAGTATGACTTCAGTCAGTATTGAGACTTAAGTAACGACTGTTATAAATCAGTTATTAGAATACTAAATAATAATTTAGTCCATACGGTTGTTTTACTGAAATTTTAGTTGAATTTAAAAAGACAACTTATCATAACAATACATGTAGATTAAAACTTCATATTATTTGTACATAAATCAAGAGGATACAAAAGTATTTAAATAGAAATGATTCTTATTAATGTTTAATAAGTTATAAAATTGCAAATTTTGATATGTTTTAACATAGTCTTCATTTATCTTTATTATTAAACTTTCTTTTTCTTTTTTTTTTTTTTGAAAAATTATACTTTCTATGTACATTTATAAGATTTATTTGTGATTAAAAATCACAATGTTTTCGATAGATTTCTAAACTTCACATTTGTTTCTTTATATCTTATCTGTAAAAATGTATGACATATTCTTAATCTACGACATATTTGTTTTAAATTGATAATAATATAAAATATATACAGTATTGCAAATACTACAACGAAGAAAACATTATATATATAAATTAATATATTACATAATTATTTTATGATTTTAAATAAAAAAGTTTAAAAAAGCTTTAAGCTAACACATTTGAACGCTTTAGTCTGATATATTACTTATATTAAGTTATTTTGTTTTATTTTTATATTCTTCAAATGCAAATGGAAAAACTGCTTCCACTAAATATTTTAAACAAATGTAAATTTTTCAGATTCTATTAAAAAAATTTTTCTATATTTTAAATTGTTAATAGCATATAACAATTGCAAAGTGTTGTTATTAGTTGTTGTTTTAGCTTCATAAAGATCTTATATTTGAACGTAAATCAGTCATAATAAACAAATTTTCATTTTTAATCTAAAAATTTGTAATCAAGACAATATTTTATACATATCTGTTGATTGTGTATTCGAAACTTTGTAGCTTATTTTTAAATGCTCCTTGTAATCTGATAAAATATGAGATCATAAACGACATAAATAACTTCAATTGTTTGCTATTGTTTTTGTCAACTACAAAATGCTATAAAAACGGAAAATTTTAAAAACTTGATTTTGATTTTGAAACTTGATTACGAAATTATACTTCAGTTTTATATCTTTTTATTTATAAGATTTATAATTCTTTTTGTATAACCACACATATATGCTTTTCTTCCTTATTTAAAAATTTCCAAAAATTTACACATTTTAGACGTAAGCCTTATATTGTTTTATGATTTATAATTACTAATTTTTGTTGAAAATGATTTATAAACACGAGACTACTTACATTAAGATTCGTTGAAGAATATCTAGAAATATTAACAAAATAATTAATTCTTATGTATTCTTATGCATAAGTATTTTCCAAATTGAAAAAATAATTATATTTTTATTTTTTTTAAGTTCTATGTAAGTGTGCATATTAATTAAAAATATAATATTTATAAATATATTTATATTTAAGAAACATAAATATAAAGCTATGTTTATAGATAAACCCCTTTACACACATACATACATACGCCTATAAAATATAAACATACAGAATATAAAAACAAAATTGTTTATGCATAAATAAAATATTAATGAAAATGCTTTAATTTTAAATTTATCCAATAATAATATTTACAATAAAAACAAAGTTGCAGGTTTATGTAGTTTACATAATAGCATACAATAAAACTAGCCGTACTAGAATTAAAAATAATCTTTTTAAAGAAAAATCAATTTATACTTTTTAATTTATAAATAGTAGCATATATATTTTTTATTGGCAAAATTGTAAATTGACAAATAATATATTAAATGTAAAATTTCAGAAAACTAATTGTGCAGGCAACAATTTTCTACTTATATTTTATAATTTATATTTAAAAAATGTTAATCATTTGTAAAATATAATTTATTGCAAAAAATTTAAATATAACCTGGTAATAAATAATCAATGTAACCAAGTTTTGTTATTGTTTATTTAAGTTTTATTCAGTCATGATCATTTTTTAATATATATTAAGTTACCATATACCCACTATGAACATTTTAACAATTTAGTAATTTTTAAGTAAATAAAAAATACATCTAAACACATTGTAACATAAAAACATGAACACATAATAATTTTAACATTATAACAATATTATTACTTTACTTAATGTATATATACATTAGTATCATTATTTTTTTATTTTTGTATTATGTGTACTTTAATTAATTCTATAGATATATATAAAAATCTAATAGCTGCATTATTGTTATGCTTGCAATATTGTTCTTTGTATATAACACGAACTACATGACATATTTTCATAAGCCGTATATTTGTGATATGAATTAAATATATGTATATGGACTTAATATATAAGTTCAATATATAAATTGAATCGTTATGAATTCTTTATATATGTCAACAATATCACACGGTATGTGTATGCAAAATATTGTATGAAATAAGTAAAGTGAACCTTGTGTTTATTTTATACACAAAGACATTTCACAATTAAACATTATTATTATGTATTATTAAGCTATTGTTTTGATTAAGTATAGAAATATTATTTTATTTTCTATTTGTTAAAATGTCTTAAATCATATGTTTGATTACAATTTTTGCGTTGATATACAAAAACAATAATAGATATCTAAATAAAAAAAAAATTAAAACTTTAAATTTATTTTTCATAGTTCATATATGAATTGATTAACATTTTTATAATGACAGTAAAAATAGTTAATAATGTGACATATATCCTTTTTAATTTTTTTTTAATATTTGACATTATATTATTTTTTAATTAAATTCAATAATTTTTAATTATTCTAACCTCTACAAATAAAATATAATTAATTCATTTCATATCTTTTTCGTTTTTAAAATTTTTGTAATAAATTTGTTATAATTTCTTATTTAATTAATTTTTAAAATGTTTCATTTTAAATGTATTTTTTTTTTCATCTCTAATATATATTTTTAATTTGTAATTTTTGTTTGAAACTAACAAATATTTTTTCGATTTGTTTCATATTTATATATATGTTTATTAATTGTTTCATTGATTTTAATTTTTTTAAGATTGTATTCAATTTATTTCATTTAAATTTCTTCTTGATTATTATTATATTAAATTTAATATTATTTTAAAATTTCAAATTTATTTTATAGTTATTAAATTTATTTTAAAGTTGTTTATTTTGAATTATTTTTTTTAGTTTTATTTTATTTTTTTTTAAGTTTTATTTTATTTTTTTAGTTTTATTTTATTTTCTTTAGTTTTATTTTATTTTTATTTTTTAGTTTTAATTTATTTTAAAATTTGTTGTCAAAATACTTAATACCTAAAATACTTAACTTTCTAAATTCAAATAAAAATGTAATAAATTCTTATAACTGAAATCAAAAATATATATTTTATTAATTTTTATTATTTATTTATGTAATATAACTATTAAATCAGTTCATGTATGTATAGCTACATATATGTATAGTTATATATATGTATAGTCGTCTATATATATATAGTTATATATATGTATAGTTATATATATATATAATATAGTGGAAACTTTCGCATATATTAAAATCTTTCAGTTTACACTGTTACACGCACCCATAGTAAACTTTTAAAAATTATTAAGCATACAGAATTTTAAACAAATATGTAGTCGCATAGAATTATAAAAAATAAAGTATATATCTATATATATATATCCATATATATCTTAATATATGAATATTAAAATTATTTATTTATATTTTAAATTTGTGTTATAAAATAAAAACAAATATACACACATAAATATAAAAAATTAAATATATATGTATTAAAATATAATAAAAATTTTTAAAATATGAAACGACATATCTAAAAAATTTTAATAGATTTAGTGATGACTTTTTTAAACTTTTATTTATTTTTTTTTTGTTTTTATAAGCTTTTAAAATAAAATGTAGAATTATATTATAACACGCACAGAAAATTGTTATGCTTCCTTATTTTAATTTTATTTAATTGTTTTTTAAACACTTGATGTTCTTTATGATGTAAGCTTAATGTATAACACATTTATTAGTTAATACAATTTAATAAACAAGTATATATAATTATACATATAAATGAATATACAATATATTATAAAAATATTATGAATAACTATTATAAAAAATAATGCAATTATATATATTATTTTCTTAAAATACAAATTTTGTTTTATTTCATTTTTGAATTAAATTTTATCATTTAATCAATTCATATACTTTTTTAACGATTAGTTAAAAAACGTGA